CTGAATATTAAAAGTATGAATCTCCCTTATAGCTGGTTTTATATTGGGATATAACCTGCTCAGATGGAAATTAGACCTCTGTGGATGGGCATTGTCAAGCCTGATCAGATTCTCTTCCTTCTGCTGTCTTACTTTAGTTGTTTTCCTATAGCATGATTTGCTAGCCCAATATCTCAACAGGCTATCAGTCTGCCATAGGAAAGAAATCCTGATGCCTGGTTTCGTTCCGTTTTTTTTGACAGGCCGGCTGTCTATGGATTCGCAAGATGGCGACTTTGAGGTGGGCGATCATCATTATTAGCTGATAAAATGTTGGGGATCCTGGGGCGATGGGTGGAGTGTGTATGTTCTCCCTGTGTTTGCCTGAGTTTCCTCCAGGTGCTCCCGTTTCCTCTCAAAGTACGCAGATATGCCTGTGGGTAAATTGGCTTCTGGGAAAATTGGCCCCGGTGTGAATGTGTGTGCGTGTTTGTGTCTGGGTGTCCTGTGATGATCTGGCGTCCTGTCCTGGGGGTATCCAGCCTTCCACCTGTGGCTTGCTGGGATAGGCTTCGGCTCTCCTGCGACCCTGTATTGCTTAAAGCAGTTACCCCAAAAGCACCCAGTGACTCAGGAAGAGGCAGCATGATCCTGCAGTCATGTTAAATATGTGCAACCACCCCTCGTATCTGATTTCTTTTTCATAGAATGTGCCATTTTGGAAAAAGGCAATAGCTCTAAGCTCAGCCTGAAGCTCCAGTCGTTTACTTTGTTCTTTGAGAAAATAACACTGCCCCAGTCAGCTAGACAAATCATCCAAGACCAAAACTGTAGCATTTTAAGAGTGATGGAACTATAGACCTTCAAAGCTTAATAATATTTGTTCTTTGTTCTTGAGCTGTGAAGTTTGCAAGGGGACCCAGTGTTCTTATAAAGAACCTTGTATTGGGTTATAAATGCACCTGCTTATAACGGCACTGACAAATTCCATCACGTGGACGTCTTCAGAATGAATGATGAAACGCAAACCTGAGACCCGGGTGACAACTATGTGGAAGTGCCTATAAAACCAAGAGCAGGAGACACCTCTTTACCCAAAGGGTGGTGGGAGTCTGGAACAAGATGTCCTGCCGTGTTATTGAAGCTGATACCCTGGCTTCTTAATGGAAAAAAAACAGCTTTGTGCAATCAATAAGCTACCCGGGTCGATGGGTTCCTCTCCTTCGTTGCTGTTAAAAACGTATTCTTTCCAGTGATGCATAACCAAGTGAACTGAACCTCCTTCTGATACAGTAACCTGAACGCGTTCACTGGATTGATTTTCTGGCGACTTATCGTTTTTTAAAATTTCTGTAGGGATTTGAGAGTCCCAGGTCATCCCCGTCTCTCTCAGCTCGGGCGTCCCAGCACCGGCGACAGGGATCCGAAACGATTTTCATGTCGGATCAGGTGAGGACCTTGTGGGCCATAACCAGTACCAGTACATATACCAGTAGAGGAGAAACACCACTTTAAAACATCACAAAGAAACTGTCAAGGGCTGATGGCCGAGTTCTGCACGTCACAGGGTGTTTGATTATTAGACAAGTGGACACAACAAGTCAACCGTTGAATAAACAACGAGAATTGATTTCGCTAGGGTTCGAGACCCCAGATCATCGGCCCAGAGGAAGAGGAAGACGACGAAGATTCTCAAACACAGAACGAGGTATGGAGCTGGACCGTCTTAAAAATCAAGGTGTGATCTTTGATCATAGTTGGTTAGACCCACAACTATATCTTTGAAGTGTTTGACCGGGTGGCCTGCGTTGTGCAGAGATTATTTTGATTTATTTCATATGCTTCAGATGCTCGAGTTTCTCTTCAGCTAAACTGACTTGTTACTCTTGGAAGTTTCCTTTCTATGTTGAGCTGATTCTTTCTGCTGCTCTTATCTGGTCTGAACTCAGCTGGAACATATTTAAGATCTTTTTTTAAAAAAAATGCAGTTAATT